CCCAAGAGCTGCGCTCCAAACAAGGCCACCGCCACCGCCGCTGCCAGCCGCTGCGCTGCTGAGCGCAGCGTTGAGGTCTGACAGCCGCCGCCTGTGCAGGGTACCACCACCAGCACCACCAGCGCCCAGGGAGGCGCGGTGCGGCGGAGGCCGCATTGCGGGGTGCTCGCTGCTGCCCAACCTGTGACCGCCTGCGGCCATCAGGGACGGCATAGGGATTGCCTGCTGCTGCTGCTGCTGCTGCTGCTGCTGCTGCTGCTGCTGCTGCTGCAGCTCACACCGCGGTTGGTGCAGCTGCTGGTGCAGTTCGGCCAAAACCGCCGTGCCCGCCAATGTCTGGCCCTGCGGCTTCTCGCACGCTCGACCTTGTCGCTCTCTGGCCTGTTGCTGCTGTTGCTGCTGTTGCTGCTGTTGCTGCTGTTGCTGCTGTTGCTGCTGTTGCTGCTGTTGCTGTTGTAGCTGCTGTCGCTGCAGTGGCTGCGATTGATGCCCCTGCAACTGTTCATTCAACTGCTCTTGCACGCTCTGATGCTGCTGCATCTGCTGCTGCTGCTGCTGCTGCCGCTGCTGCTCCTGTTGCTGCTGCTCATGCTGCTGCCGCTCATGCTCCTCAAAATGCCCCTGCGACCCAAAAGGAAGGCCGCTGCTGCCCCCGCCATCGGCCGCAGCCCATGGAAAGCCTGCGCCGTTCGCCACACCCGCAGCCGCAGCCGCGCCCCTGCCGGCCAGGCCCTGCCCCAGCATCTGCGTGCCGCGCGGCAGGCCCGACACCATCTCCGCCAGCATGGTGGGGATGGACAGCACGGCTCCGCGCCTGCCGGCCGCCGGGCGCGGCAGCTGCTCTGGAGGCAGCGCTTCGGGGGCCTCACTGAACCAGGGGTGCTGCAGCGCCTGCTCAGCCGTGAGGCGGCGGTCGGGGTCGAACGCCATGAGGCCCCGCAGCAGGTCCAGGCACGCAGGGGACGCCTGGGCGGGGTTGGGAGCAACGGTGGGGTGATGGTCGCGGTGCTGCGCCAGCGGTGACGATGGAGTGAACCTGGCCAGTCAACCTGGCAGATAGAAGCACTTGACATGAGCAGATGAGGTACCGCTTCGCTGGCGATGAGTTTGGCCCCGGCAGCATCCGCCCTTTGCTGTGTTGCGAGGCGAGCCCTTGCGTGTGCCCCCCACCTGCGGGAAGAGCGGCTCCAGCGGCGCCCCCGCCGCCGGCTTGAATTCGAGGCGGTTGGGCAGCGCCGCCATGCCGGGCCACTGCTCTGCGGTGGGCACGCCCAGAGCCTGCCGGGCAAGCGTAGGGGGTGTGCCAGGGGTTCATGTGTGTTTGAGGGTGCAGGCAGGGTGCATGACGCATCAGGGTTGAGGAGCGCAGCGACCAGAGTGCGCACGCGCACGCATCGCAAACTGCGCCACAAGGTCAAACACACATGCGCACGCGCGCGCGCACACATACACACACACACGTGTACTCATGCAGAAAACCATGCACACACGCACGCGCGGACAAACTCACACACACACATGCGCGCGCACACACACACACGCACAGCCACACACACAGCGTGCGCGCGCCCCCTGCCGCCGCCCGGCCGCGCACCTTGAAGATCCTGTCCAGCTGGTCAAAGTCACAGGAGCCCCCAAACCAGGGCCGCCGCAGCATCAGCTCCGCCAGCACGCAGCCCGTCGCCCACATGTCAACAGAGGGGCCGTAGCGCGTGGCCCCAAACAGCAGCTCGGGGGGGCGGTACCAGCGGCCAAACACCTGGTGCGTCCACTTGCCGCCCTCACCAGGGTCGTCGCACGACCTGGAGAGGGGGCCGTGGGGTCCCAGGGCATCGACGCCGCGGGACGCGATGACGTCAGCGGAGCGCTGGTGAGCCACGCGACGAGGGTGCCAGCTGCGTATCAGCAGCCCGTGCCCCGCGTTGCCTGGCGCACCGACTCCCGAGCCGATTGCGTGCGCATGCAGGGCCCATGCGCCCTTTCATCCACCCGCACGCGCACACCCGGCCCGGCAGCCCACCGCCAACAAATCCACCCACCCCGCACTCCGGCCCACCCGGCCGTGGGCCCAACCTCCCTCCCCGTCACCCCAGCCCCCACCTGGCGAGCCCAAAGTCTGCGAGCTTGAGCCGCCCGCTGGCCGCGTCCACCAGCAGGTTGTCGGGCTTCACGTCGCGGTGCACCAGGCCGCGCCCGTGGACGTGCGCCAGGGCCAGCAGCAGCATGCGTGCGTACGCCTTAACGGCCCCAGGGCCCAGGGGCTGGCTCTTGTCGCGGACCACCTCCTCCAGGGACCTGGCAGGGTTTTTTTTCGGGGGGGGAGGGGGGAGGAAGTGGGGGCGTCGAGCGGAAGGAGAGGGGCGACGGCGGTGCTTGAGAGGGGTCGTGGGCTCCGCGCCGTCACCGAATGACGGCACGCGCTTGCACACCACCCGAAGCAAGCGCGGCGCCAGGCGCAGGGCCCATGTCTAGCCATTCGCAAACTTCGTGCGGCGGTAGGGCGACCCCTCTCCAACTTCCTTGTCCCATCATTGCACTCACACCCTCCCCCCCCAAACCCCCGCCCGCTCCCCCTGCAGATCTGGGCCGCACCAGTCCAGGTGTTCAAACACGAGGCACAGGCTGGAGCCGCCCTTGTTGGGGAAGACGTCCAGCAGCGCCACGACGTGGGGGCAGCCGCCACAGCCCAGCTCCCGGAGAGCGCGGATCTCGCGCAGCGCGCTGACGTGGACGCCGTCGCGGCTGCTGCCGACACGCACCTGTCGGTGCAGGGGTTGGGGGGCGGGGCCGCATGGGTCAAGGGTGCAGAGTTCAACGCCGCGTTGCAGATCAGCGGTGTCACCAAGAAAGAGGCGTGGGGTGAGCAGCCGTGGTGCTGCCAGGGCGGTGCGCTGCAGCCGACCACCTGGGCGGCAGACCGTGCAGTGCGGCCGGGCAAGGAGCGGCCGTGTGGCGCGTGCAAGACGCACGTGCGGCCGCCGCCACCTTGCGTGCTGCGCCGCCCTGCCCGGATCTGACCGCCATGGCCGTGTCACCCAGGCGCAGCTGCGCCCAGTGCTTCGCACCCGTTCAGGGGCTGCACGCGCCATGGTGCTGCAGCGCACCCGGCGGCTGGCTCACCTTTTTGATAGCCACTGCGCGGCCAGTCTGCTTGTGAGTAGCACGTATGACGGAGCCATACGTGCCCTCGCCGATGATGGGCCCCTTCACATAGTCCTGCATGCTGCGGCACCGCCGCTGCACCCGGCCGGGCTCGTCGTGGCCGCCGCTGGCCCGGGCTGGACGGCGCGGTTGCCTCGCCAGCCACCACTCCGCCCACCGTCGTCCTACCGCGCGCTGCGCCCGGCTCGGGTCAGCAGTGGTGCAGGCGTCAAATCAGGCTGCCTCCCTGCAGCAAAGGTTGGGGGGGGTGCTGTGCGGACGGCCCACATCGGGCACATCTGCACGGGCGCAGTGCCGCCGGACGGTTTGGCGCGCGATCCGCGCGGCAGGCACGAGGCTGCTGAGGTTTGTCATCGCAATTTTTTTCCAAGCACATGCTCACCGCTGCAGGGCGACCCTTCGACGGTGCTTTGCACCCTGTTGACTCGTTGTGCAGAACACAAGGCCCGAGCAAGCCCACCGCCAAAGCTTCGTAAAGCAGTAGAGAGTTCAGAATCTATTCATGACGGGGAATGCTGAAAAGGCCTCGCGCCAAGCACAGATCAGTTCGCTTTTTGCGTCCCGTGGGTCCTGCCGGGAAGCACATACGAGGATTGGCTCGATCGTACTGTGTATGTCGTTGCTTGTGACTCGGCGCATCCGGGTGTGCCGCTTGATTTGAACTCAACATGAATTCGATGTGCGATGTCACCAGGGCAGAGACGGCGTCTACTGATACGTCAGATTATAATTTCTGTATAGTTTGTGAAAATCGAGTCTAGTTGATAGCTTTTAAGGCAACTCTTGCAGCAAGATTATTCCAGGATGCAAGCGAACTCGGGCCTGAGGGCCTGTAGGGGTCCCATTGGCTCGTCAAACACTCAAACGCGGCTTTTGAAGCGACCACTAGGGACGGCGGGCCGAGCAGGCTCCATTGCCACGGCCAGCAGCGACTGCTGCTCATGCAGCAGCAGCAGCAGCAGGGCGGAGTGGCTGGGGTGGCGCGCCGGCCCGGAGGCATCCAGCCACGGCAGCAGGCGGCGGTCACGCAGGGGCGCGCGCAACGTGTGGGCAGCGGCAGTCGGCGCCCCCTTGCAAGCTGTGGGCCAGGCGCCAGCCCCTGTAACCGGCAAGATGACGATTGCCATCACAGGTGTGTGCAGTCGCCCGTTGAGGTGACACGTTTTCATGATCAAGTCCGGTGTGGGTTGAAGCAAGGGCAAAAATTGCCAGGTTAAACCCTGCGGCGCGATGAGGTTTGGCCAGCGCTGCCGCAGCCACCGGTCGGCAGGCAGGTGGCGGCCGCTGCGGCGAGCAAGCCCAGGTGTTCTCACTGCGCCGCAGAAAATGGCGCTCGCATGCCTGGCCCGCCCCTCACCCCCCACCCCACCCCTACCCAAAACATCGTGACATCCATATACACACATCCTCCACAAACTCAAATACTCCACAAACTCGCACATTCTGACACACACACACACACACATACACATACACACACATACACATACACATACACATACACATACACATACACATACACATACACACACACGCATACACACACATGCGCCCACGCATGCGCGCGTGCAGGCGCGACGGGCCTCATCGGCAGCCGCCTCGCTGCCAAGCTGGCGGCGCAGGGCCACCGCGTGCGCGTGCTGACGCGCGACACGGGCGCGGCGCGCAGCAAGCTGCCGTACCCGGGCCTCGAGTTCGCGCCGCCCAGCCAGTGGGCCAGGGCGGTGGTGGGCGCGACAGCCGTCGTCAATCTAGCAGGGACGCCCATCGGCACGCGGTGAGGGGGGGCCGCCGCACCCCGTGAACGGACCCTCCCTGCACGCCACGCCCGCGCACCGCCGGCCCGCAGCGGTTCCCAGGCGCTGCGCTTTGCTCGCGGCTCCCAACGTGGCACACCGTCGCCTCGACGACTCTCCATCACGTGGCGCCCTCCAGTGGTCTCAGCGCCCCCCCTCCCTCCCCCAAAACCGCGGCCCATCCCGGCAGGTGGACAGCGGAGATCAAGCGCCAGATTAAGGCGTCCCGGATCGACGTCACCACCAAAATTGCGGTGCGGCGACCTGACTTGACGACGGCGTGGCGGGCCCTGGGATCCACGCAGGGCCGCGTGTGGCAGGCGCTTTTCATGGCAACGGCACTGCCAGCAGGCAGGGTGCATCCTCAATGACGCCAGGCGCTGCGCCGGCCCGGGCGCTGCCAGCAGAGCGGCCTCCAGCTGCGATGAGCAGCGGCAGCGGCGGCAGCGGCAGGCTCGAGGCCTAGGCGCCTTTGCAAATCTCCTGGCCGCCCTCCTGCCCTCCCTTAACCCGCCTCCCCCGCCCTCGCGCCCC